AACTTCTACTCTAATCTGATGGAAGACGGGACAGTAAATATGATTCAAGAGGATATCCAAATGCCAATCATTTGGATTCACTTTTTACACTACAACATTTTATTTATAAATTCAGCTTGGCAAGTATTTTAAAATTGTATTTATGCATTTATGTATTATTGAAACATATATGCATTAAGAAGTGCAGTTCTAGAACAGTGTTAATTTTTTTTATACCAGTGAGCTGATTTTCTTGATCATGTTAAAAATGGGGTACTAAACATTGCTGAAAATGCAAGCTACAAAGATCTGAAAAAATTGCTCAACAAATAAATTAATTATGCATAGCTTCAATTCCAATTGGTAATTCCAATATTTTAATGAAATAAATTATAATAATTCTGTTTGCCTGATCAAAGATCAAACAAAGAAATGGAAATTAAATTGACTGCTTGTTAGTATTAGTTTTGGCTGACTGGAAAAGGCCAAGCTACAGCAATAATATAGCTATGGTAAAATGATAATAAACATGATGTTAATTTGATATGAGGGGAAAAAAGTAATTAAAGGATCTGTATGCTAACTATATAAAAAAGTCTGATAATCTGAGTTCTTACTAGGAAAAGAAAAAAGGTTTTTATCCCATTGTTGCTCAAAGAGGTTTGTTATGCCACATCCCATACTGACTTGCTTTTGAAAAGCCAGTGACGCTGCTAGATGTGCTAGGTTAGTGGGGGGGTTTAACAGCAGACAGAAATTAATCTCCAGATAAGCCACTCCCCTTCCCCTCACCCTTTTCAGTTAACAGGAGGATAAAGACAGAGACTATGATAACAAAAAGAAAAATTGAGATAACAAAAAGAAAAAAAAAAAACATCCATGCAGCCCCTGGGACAAAGACAAGATGGTGGCCACTTCCTTTGGTTGATTCTCCCTGTCCCTAAGTCCAAGAAAACAGAAAACAATGGTGGACAAAACTCTGAAAGCCAGATTGTCTGTGTCATGCCATGCTGCCAGTTCAGAAGCTGGGCTTGATTCCACATGGCTGTTACCAGCACTGGGGCTGGCTCTGCTGGGGTTTTGACTCCACAACACAGTGGTCACAGTGGTCACACTTTGGTCAGCACCATATCTTGGAGACACAGTGGCTTTACCGTGTCTGCAAGCCATGCCCCAGAGAAACAGGATGGGGATGAGCAGCAGCAGCAGAGGACGATCCTGACAGAGCTGATCCCAACAACCTCCACAATGAAGAGGCAAAATGAGGTGCTTCTGGGGGAGAACTCAACCTTTTCTGGCCCCCCAAAACCACCCTGACCACATGGGTGCAGGGCCTTCACCCTCCACAGCCAGGACAGTGAGGCAATAAAAAGCTCACCTGTGCACACACAGAGGAGCACAGGGACACAGTGGTGGATGGGTGAGACAAAAGGCACCTCACCCTGGCCTCTCCACATCCACCCTAGATTCATCACAAGTGCAGAAGGCAGAAAGTCCTGGGCAAGGGGGGGAACCAACACAGAGAACCAACCTCCACCCCAGCCTCCCCAGGGCCATCCCTGGTGAGACCCAGCCCCAAGGGCTGGAGCACAGCTCACTCTAGGAGCACTCCAGTCACTCCAGAGATCTCAGAGGTGCCCTGCTCAGGGATACAGAGATCACTGTGGAGTAAAACAAAAGAGCATTTGGGTATTGTACAAGGCTAATTATGGAGTATTTAGGAAAGGAACCAGCATCAGGGAAAGGGATGGATTAAATTGGCTTGGAACAGATATGCAAAAATATAGGAATAAAATAATGGCAGGGGATGATTGCATGTAAGCTGGTGATTATGCTTGTGTGCCCTGTATAGTAGCTCTACCTGCAGTGACTTTCAGGACTGAGGAACTCCAGTCCATTTTAGTCTAATTCCCAGTGAAACCACAAGAGGTGTGTGAGATCAGAAAAAATAGATTAAAATAGATTTATATCAAAAATATAAATATATCAAAAGAATATTTGCGTATTGAGTTTGAGTGGCAGCTTTTTTGGGGGTAGTGGTGCTGCCAGAGCTTCTCTCATGTCTGATAGAACCAAAACCAGTTGGTTCCAAGACTGACCTGTCACTGGCCAAGGTTATCCATCAGCAATGGGATAACAAGAAGGAAAATGTCACTGTGCAGCATTACTAGCAGCCAGAGAAAGGAGTGAGAATATGTGAGGGTTGAGTCTGCTTTGCCCATGACAGTACCTGGAGAGTGATACTTTGTTGTTCTTATCTCAATACATTTTCTCTTACGCGTCCTGGTGAAGTGGAGGAGTGAGTGACTAATATGGTGGGCACCTGGCATCCAGCCAACATCAACCCACCACAGTCCTTGTGATGAAATCTGTAAATGGGCAAGCTACCCCTTTTTGCAGAATATCTTGTGATTTTTTTTTTTTGTGACTAGCATTTACACCTGACAGCTACCATGAAAAATCTATATAAGGATTTAAGGATAAGGATTTTGTGTCTAAAACACAATAACTTACTATCTCATAAAGTATAAAGACTGCTTTAATTTAATATCTAAGGACTGCAATTAAAATTACTGACTTTTCTATTTCCCTGAAATAATGGACTATTGTTCTTGTGCAGCACAATTATACATCTTCACCACACACACAAATGAACCAAGCAAGCAGTCACAAAGAGACAGCACAGACTGAGAGAACTATTCTTTCTAGCAAGCAGCAACAGGAGAAAGCAGTCTCAGTAACATTAGAAAGTAGAGTCCCAAATGCCCTGAGGACAGTTGGTCAAGATTTAGAATTTCTGGGAAATTAGAACAGTCACAAAGATTCCTTCAGTTTGGTCTGGTACTGGGGACTCATCTATTAATAAAGTGAGTGCTAAATTGCTGCATGAAAACGTCTACATATTTATTTTACATGTTTCAAAGACAGGATAGCTCAATATAACAACACATTAATCACAACTACATGTGTGTATTCTGAAACACTCTGTTTAAACCATTGGGAATAGTTGCCCATAAGTAAAATATTTCTTGGAGGTCTCATAGTCATATAGACTACAATGTGGGATTTGCCCAGCGGACAAATACAAGAATTGTGTCTGGAGACAATCAGACATTGGAGGCATCCTTTCACTGCTAGGTTTTGTGCCTGAAAACAAGGTCATGTATGTCACAAGGCTTATTTTTTGTGACATTTCTTTTTTTTTGCTTGTTTCATGATCAGTTCAAATAATTATTTAACTTGAGAGAAGTATCTAAGATGGAAATCTATGTCAAGGCTGTTGAATTTTAACAGAAATAAGTTTCTGAAAATAAAAACATAAGGGATAACCTCAAAGAGCTGTCATATTTTAGCCTGGAGAAGAGAAGGCTATGGGTGAATTCTTATCGGTGGGCATTAATACCTGTTAGATGAGAGGGTGTAAGAAAGGAGGAGCCAGAGTCTTCATGACAATATCCATTGACAAGATGGAAGCAATAAACACAAATTGAAACTCAGAAAATCCCACTAACAAATAGGTGAAAACCTTTTTTACTCTGAGGGTAAACACTGGCATTGAATGCCCAGAGAGGCTGCAGAGTCTCTAATCTTGGAGGCATTCAAAACCCACCTGACACAGTCCTGGGCAGCTTGCTTTAGGTTACCCTTCCTTGAGAAGGACACTGGACTAGATAAACTCCAGAGGTCTCTTCCAATACTACCCAATATTATGCAGATCAAGAGAGACACATCTGAAATAATGATCTCCCCAGATATTTCACAAAAGTTTTAACTACTTGGTGAGTATTTGTCTAGTGATAAGATATATTGAGGAAGAACAAAAGCCATTTTCCAGTGTGTTACATCATCACAAACATTCCCCTTGTTATTCTGTGGATTCATAGTTTTCTGGTGCATGAGCAGGATGAATCACATTGTTTTTGTAGACCCCAATTAACAGGCTTAAGGCACAGTGTTAACATAAGCAGTGCATTTACATTCATAGTCCCCAGAAATGGTATTATATATGCATCCTTGATAAACTCTGGAAAAAAAATAAGTTATAAGTGCAAAGGATCACAATCTTATGCCGAGTTGGCAAAACGAAATTAAATTTCGGATTTTTTTATTTTCTGAAATATTCAAAATATTTTTAAAACTAAAAGAACTATGTATATTAAATACTTTTGTTGGATGTGCATGTCATAGTCACCAGAAACATATAGACCTTGCAGTGTATTTGTCATTTTAAAAATGATAGAGGTCCCACAGTTTCAGGAAAAAAAACCAGAGATGTCTAAACTCCTAAAGGATTTGATGCTGTGGAGGGGGAGGGTAAAAGGGTTGAAACAGCTTATGTAAGTGCAGAATTTAAAAGCACAGATAAATTAAGAAGCTTTTATATTTTCAATATAACTATCATGTCTTTCATTTTGAGTAATGATTTATAAAGTACAAAAATCAATAATGAATCCATTCTAAAAAATTGCATTTTAAAAAGTATCTACATGAACATAAGCAGAAATGACAGCAACACTGACATCCTCTTGTCTTCTTTTGAAGTTGTATATGCATATATATACAGGAGCCTGAAATATAATTTGTACTATACTGTGGTTGAGTCAAATTTCCAAACCATGAATAAAAACTTCTGGATAAGAGTTAGATTTTGAATAATGAAGGAAGACAATATTTAGATGGGAGTCTGCCTTTTTGTGGAATTGACTTTCTGCAAGTTGCATTCCAGGCATGTTTTTAAATTAAGGATCAGACTGACAGCAAAAATATTATTATAAAAAAAAGTGAGCAAATACATATTTAGAGCAAACTGCATTGTGAAGCACACATACTTTTTCTGAAAGTAAATCCCTAGAGATGTCTGATCATACACAGAAAGCAGATATTCAGTGTAAGAACAGTAGTAATATGAGCCAGCTTCTTACTGTGATTGTGATATTTAAACACAATTATCAAATTCCACCATCACTTTAGTGATGCTTAAAGGCAAAGGTTTTTTAGGTGTGCTTTTATAGGTTTCCTACCTTGAAACTGAGCATTAAATCCCTTTCGTCGGTGATTGCTATCAGATGTAAAATGGAGTCGTAACCAGTTCTTACTGCTGATAACTGGAGAAGGTAAATTCATACCACTCAACCTGGAAAAAGAAAAAAGAATCTAAAATTAATGGGAAAAAAAAAATCATGTGTACGAAAGAGAAAAACCCCTGAAACCTCAAAATATATTAGAACACAATGACCTGCTGCCATGTAATCTCAATGTATTACTAATCAAGTAACTATTATGTTGAGAGAAATATGAGGGGGCTTTTTTCTCATTACAGCTATCCATTTTATGATTAAAACTTGTATTTCCAAACTATTTTTTCATGAATTAAAGAAGAAAAGCAGTCTTGTGAGAGAGTGTGCATGCACATGTCAAACCATTCTGCAAAAAATTATCCTATTCAGTTATGACAAGGTGTGATCATCTGACTCCCTATTGTGGTAGCTACCTCACAGGAAACCAAATCTCAAGTATTGAGAAGTGTTAAATAAGGGTTATGGACGCTATCTAATTTTAAATTTGGGTGGTAAATTATTGGTACACAATTATGGTGGTAAAACTGATCTTGTATATATGAAGTCCAATCCACAATAAAAAAAGAAAAAAAAAAATCTAAGCACACCTGAATGCAGGCTACCCAACTTGCATTAACTGTGGATATGAAGAAAGTGCACAAAGAATTTTTCTAATACAGGCAACAGGCCCTTGGACTAGTCTGGGTTATTCCACTGTCATTCATTACACTACACCATTCGTTAATGGAGTAGCTACCACAGAGAACCTAATACGATGAAAATTCATATCTTAGTTTACTAGATAGTAAGTTTTTTAACTTTTTTGTTTTGCTTGACAATGTTCCAGATTTCAAATTTTACCATTTTATATTTTTTTCCTGAATAACTATGGAGAAGTACACAAAATTAGTTTTCGCCTTTTCAAAAATGTTGATTACTTGAAACAAAAGTCAAGCTGATGAATATCAGAAATTCCCAGCTAAGATATCATCTGTGTGAGGGTAGATTTCCTAGTACTAGAATAAACACAGTACATATTGTTGGAGCTAAAAAATAATAAAATTGAAATGGGATTTGGTCACCCTCCAAAATTAATAAGTATAGTGAAATAGATGCCTTTTTTCACCACAGTATGAGATATCAGAGTTTCATTAAATATTCCAGATTACTAGGAAACTCATCGTGTTAAGAAATAATGATTCTGGAGAAGTCTAGTTAGAAATATGGCTGAATCCCTTTTTCTTCTGAAGTAGAACAAGACCAAAATATTGAAATATAGACATTCTTAATGAATGTTTTCTATTCTATTTGAACCATGCAAACTACATCAGAGAAATTTTGTTTTTATTTATAATCTCATTTCCTTTATCTACCTGTTAACAACATAAGGGAAACCCAAATCCTACTTAAAAACAGATTTGACTGGAAAAAAAAGGGTTGGTCTTTTACAAGATTTACAATGTTCATTTTAGACATGGCATTAAATAGTTCTTAAAGGTGTTGGTTAAACCACTGATACCTGTAAGTTTCTACATCTCATTCAAGATGGACTTTTACACTTTATATATTCTTTCAGACACACTTCAGACTATTTTAGAAAACCTAAATATTTCTAACTACAAACTGGCCTTTTCTGTTTCAAATCTACTTAGAATTTGGGTGAACATACAGAAAGCACAGTGATATAACTAAAAGGAAAAAACAAAACCATATCTGGAATACAGAATATATCTTTGCTAGTATCTCAGTTACTGGCAAAACATATGCTAAATCTAAATGTTTTGACTACACATAGGCTGTAGTTCATATCACTGAACTGAAAATTCATTTGTCCAAATACATAAAGTTACATTCTAGAAACACTGTTTTAGGGGATTGTTTTCTTTTAAAAAAGAAACATACAAGTAGTAACATTCTATCTAGTACATCCAGAGCTCTGAATTTCAAAGCTGGCAAAACTCTAGGCTGAAATATTAAATTATAATATGAATTGCATTGTACATTAATAAAAGATTAAATGAATATCATTATGAAAGTGTTATATTTCCCAGACACACAATGCACATGACATTTTCATGTCTATGTGAACTCCACAAGGTTCTAGACAGTCTCAAATCTCCCCATAATACTATGAAATAATATGAAAATGACACTGAGAGAGTATTTTACACAATCTATTTTAGCAGAGCTCTAATTTAGCTGCATGATTTCTTTCATATACTTAGCTCTAGATAGCAATATGTTCTTTAACAGCGATGCTGTTTGTGTTTTAGTTGAAGTAAGTGGGAAAGGATAAAAAATCTTAGTGGCTCTTGGAAGAAAGTTATAACCAGTGTATGGCACAGTGGTGGGTTTTTTTCTGTAAGGTTTTCAAAACCTCTTCACTAGAGTACACAAATTTAAAAAAACCCAAAAAATTCTGGGAGCATTAGCTGGGAATTCTGTGGCTGACATATGGACATCAGAAGTGATGCTCCTACACAAAGTTCTTCACTCTGTAGCATTCATCTTATGTATGTGGGACTTCCTATGGAAAAATTCATTTTCCAGTAATGGCAGATCCAAAATTTTGTGGATACAGAGTAAAATTCCTCTTTACATGTTAATTGATATTTTTCGTGGAATTTCTAAAGGATGGGCAACCAGAGCTTTGTATGGAAGAGAGAGGTGGACATGGTTACTGATGAAAGTGACAAATCATCACCTGAATTGATAGAGCCGTCAGATCTGTACCTCACACAGAAGCTGAGGTATTACATGAAAATGTTTTTTTTTTTCCTCCTTACTTACCACTAGGTGGTTTGCTTTGTTTTGGGTTTCTTTGGGTTTTTTTTTTTGTTTGTTTGTTTGCTTTGGTTTTGGTTTTGTTTGTTTTTTTTAAAATAATGAAATAGGAGACAAATAACCTAATCACACAGTAAATATTAATATTAAACAAAAAATTTAGAAACATTATATGCATGAAAATAAAAAATAAAATAAAAAATAAAAATCAGTAGTGTCAAGGAGAGTTACATTCCAGTCCCACAAACTGGAATATTTTACATACAGCAAAAGAGACAATGTGGGGGAGGGGTCCCTAGAACACAGGTTTATTTGTTTTTTTGGTATGCAAAGTGCAAGTGCATGGCTGGTGGATGTGCTTATAATTTAGCTGCTCTAGTTCACCAACAGAGAGGCTGGACACCACTGCCCAGCAGATACTCAGGGTCACATTCTACACATGGAGTGATCCCTCCCACAAAGAACAATTTCCTCTGAGCTGTACCAGCAGAGAGGTGCATCACATAACACAATTTGTGGCTAAGTGCCTGTGTGTGTGCTGGTGTTACCACGTGTGCTTCCTCTGACTCTGTAGCCTTCACTGTTACACATAACCTTTATATATTAGTTTCATATTTACAGAAAACTAGCAGTTTGGTTATGTCCATATTGGTAAATTCGACAGTAGCCCTTCATATCAATTTCTGTTTAAGAATCTGTATTATTTAAAACAACAGAAAATAATGGAATCTTGGAATGGTAGAATGGTTTGGATTGGAAGGAACCTTAAGGATCATCTGGTTGCAACCATCTGCCATGGGCAAAGACATCTTTCATTAGACCAGGCTGCTGAAAGCCCCATCCAATCTGGCCTTGAACACTCCAAGGCGTGGGGCCTCCACAGCTTCTGTGGGCACAGTCCTCACCACAGTCATACTGTCCCAGTGCCTCACCACACTCATACTGGAGCTGTTCGGCCCGTGACTGATGTGTGCTCCCTTGATCTCTCATGGGATCAATGTAGGCAGCTGTGTAAACCACAGGGTCCCAACAGGCACTGAAATGTGATCTGAGGTGTTCAGGAAATACTGAATGCAGGCAGGACTTGTGCTGGTAGGTTGCTAAGAAACCAAAGATGCAACTAAGGTAAAGTTACCTTTATTTCAAGTGCACATACATAGTATTCATTCCTGTTGCATACAAAAAGAGGTAATTCTAGCTCAGATTAGGTGTTAAATCTAAAATCAGATGAAAGCTTGGAACTGCTTTGTATCAGACAAATTATTCAGATAAGATAAAGCTCCCCCCAATATTTCTTAATATCAAAGTTCTCCTTACAAGATTTCATGCTTTGATCTCTACTAAAGATTTCCCCAATGCTGTATAAAAAGAATATTGAAAGTTTCTCTGTTCCTTTAAGCTGAAAAAAATATTGTATGGGAAGTAATAGAAAAGAAATTAAATTCTTCGTTTATGTTTGTATTCTGCCTCCACTATGAAAAATGCAATGCATTTTTGAAACTGACTCTAAGGCCTAGCACAGATAGTCTTAAAAGTCTGCCCTAGCCTTGGATAGAAGTGATATCTAGTCTAAATTACCATAATCATGTTGTTCAAGAACAAACACATACATATGTATAAATAATGTTACTTGTGCATTTTCTGGAAATAGTTGGTTTGACTTGTGGAGTGTTGAGTTTTCATCTCCTGTACTGATGGCAGCCAGGACTTTATTTTCTAGGATCAGGGGGTTAAAACTGGCAAGTGTCACTTGGACAAGTGACATATTTGGATGCTCTGGGCTTAACAGTATTTGTGGCCATGCACTGAAAGGGACTGAAGGAAGAATTAAATAGCTGTTTGTTCATTGAGTATCAAACACTCAATATCATGTTAAATAGTAATCCTGTGGGAAGAAAAGAATCAAACAGAAAATAAGTTTTCAAATAACACTGTAAGATATTGTGTTTACCTGAGGGCTTAGAATGAGAATTGCACATGGAACCTAAAGGCTGTCATTTCTGCATACTAGATTTTTCAGTGTGCTCTACTGAACAAGATAGACTTGCAGGGAATTCCTGTACCTGTTCCAGAATCATAAAGAATTAAAGGGCCATATTTTGAGAGCTTTATAGTTATATTGATATCATACTACACCTCTGCTGGCAAACACTGCATCTTACAAGAAGTAATGAGAAATAATTAAACAGCCCCAGCTATTCTCCTTCTAAATCTGAAGGCAGCCAGGCTGTTTCAGGATCAGAGACAGCAAAGGAAACTCTCTTTCTGTTGATCATTGAGAGCAGCAGACAAA